CTGCTGAAGAAGTCTATGGAAGGCTGTTGTCTCTGCGTCTCGTCTGATGGCCAGCCTATAGCTCTGCAGAGCTGGAAGTTGGGGAAGACAGCTGGGCATGAAATAGCGCAGGAGAAAAGGACAAATGACTTTTTTTTCACAAGGTAAGTCTAGAACCCACAGCTGTCTTCTACCACTAGTTAACATTCATCACCGTACATAGTTGTAGGATTTTTTTTCTGATAATGAGAACTTTTAAGACCTATTCTCTTAGTAACTTTCAAATACGCAATGTGGTGTTATTAATTACAGTCACTGTGCTCTACATTACATTCCCATGACTTTTTTATTTTATAACTGGAAGTTTGTAACTTTTGACCCCCTTCACCCATTTTGCCCATCCCCCACACCCCCACCTCTGGCAGCCGCCAATCTGTTCTCTGTATCTATTAGCTTTTCCCTCCAGATTCCACATGTAATGAGATCATATTGTATTTATCTTTCTCTGCCTGACTTATTTCACTTAATATAATGCCTTCAGGTTCCATCCATATTGTCACAGGTGGCAATGGTTCATTCCTTTTTATGACTAAATAATATTCCATTGTGTGTATGTCTATCTACCTAGTGATATGTCTACATATCTATATAGTGGTATCTATAGATAGGTGTATATATTGATGTTGAGTACCTATCTATTCATGTATCTGATGGCCATCTGTATGTCTTCTTCGGAAAAAATGTCTATTCAGATCCTCTGCCCATTTTAAAATCAGATTTTTTTTTGCTATTGAATTGTATGAGTTCTTTATATATTCTTATATATATTTTTGATATTAACCCCTTATCAAATATGTGACTTGCAAATAATTCCTCCCATTCCCTTTCATTCATTTCATAGGTTGCCTTTTGATTTTGTTGATGGTTTCCTTTGCTGTGCAGAAGCTTTTCTGTTTGATGTGGTCCCACTGGCTTATTTTTTCTTTTGTTGGCTTTACTTTTGGTGTCAAATCCAAAAAATCATCACCAAGACCGATGTAAAGGAGCTTCCTGCCTATGTTTTCTTCTAGAAGTTTCAATGAATTATTATTGAATGAATAAATGATTTAAAGAATAATACTGAGCTTTAGTCTAAAACATTTTGGTGATCTCAGTTTGGCAGTTTAACACAGGGTTTGGAACATGGTTGGTGTTCAGTGAATATTTATTGGATGAGTTACTGAATGGTATGGCAGGAGGAACAAAGCACTGCCAATCAGGAAGCTTTGGGGTGGTCCCAGTTCTGCTACTAGTTAGCTGTGGGGGACAGGGTTAATCCCTTCAGCTCTGTGGCCTCTGTTTGGTGTAAGGGGGTCAGATGAAATAATTGCAAAGTAAGTTTTTTGCTTAGAAATTTTGCAGTTCTATGAGTTGATCAGATTGCTTTCCAAACCAGGTACTTGAGAACCCCAGAGTGTGAGTGATCATTATGAAAAGCAGCGCTGGCTGAGGTCCCAGGGCTGAGAGTCCTGGAATCCAGCAGTTTGCCCGAGGACCTACCTGGAGGATGGTTGAGGGGAAGAGGGAAGACAGGTGCAGAAATGGGGATCACAAGAGCGCCCCGGCCAACTTCACTTGCTTGCAAATCGTGCCTCACGCTGGCTCTGACTCAATTTGAATCTGGTTTCTCAGTCACGTAATTTTTTCTGCTGAGTGAATTCTCCTCTGCGGCAAGGTTCTTTGTCCCATAGCGAGAGGCAGCGTCATCTTAGATCCCAAGGCTCTCTGGGACACAGACTTGTGCCTTGAAAAGCCTTCTCTCTCCCCTTAAGCACCGATTTCTTAAAACCATCCCAGTTTTGCCAGGCCTTCCCATACACATGCTGTTTGTACTGAGCTTCGCTGGTGCCTCCAATTTTGAGGACTTGATGAAAACGGGGTGGGAAGTCCTTTATTACAATTTCTTGTGCCCTTTCCTTAAGCAGCTGTTCTTTTCCTTCTAACAGTATAAGATGTCATTTGTAGTCTTTGAGCACAAGACAAGACGAATCTCTAGCTTAGGTCATGGTAAATGATAACTACGCACCCTCATTTCTGTGTCAGATGAAACAATCGTTTTCCTATGCACATCTCATCCTCATCACAACCCAAGACCTTAGAGCTATGAGGTCCAATTTACGATAGTTCATCTAGAGCTTAAAGTCAACCCTCAGCAGTTTACTGAGTAGCTACTATATTGTTGGGCTGAAAAGGTGCTTGGGGAATCCTGAAGTATAACCAACCATAAGACTTTTCAAGAATGAATCATCTTTTTGGAAATAGAACAAATACATGAACAATGAGGAAACTAAGGGACATAATAGGTGGCTTATAATCCCGGTAGGGCTTCAGGAAAGAGCTTTACAAATCTATGTGATTTGCAGAGAAATTTTCTTGTGGGTGTTGGGTACGAAATTGGGCTTTCAGCAGTTGTCAGAAAAGAGGAATAGCACTCTAGACATGGGAGTGCGGGGGTGGGAGTGCAGAGGTGGGTGCGGGGGGTGGTGGTGGTGGTGGTGGAAACAGCCTCAAGGGACTACAGCGAGCAAAGAAAAAGTCACAGGAACGCTGGGCAGCTGTCTAATAGGACTTCTGTGTGTTTTCAAACTCATCTTTCCTCGATATTTCTAGACCCTTCTAAGGCAAGATGCTGGACCGGAGTTTAGGAGCTCCCCGGCACAATCTCAGTCTAGGGATACGAGCCTCTCTTCTTGGAAAATATTTTTAAAGAATTATGGTCCGAGATAACCAGTTTGGATTCCTGGGCCTAGAGCCACATTCCTAGAGCCTTTCCTATTTTAACGGTGCACTCTCTCTTCTTGCTTCTTTCCCTTCTAGCATTTCAGCTTCTATCGGTTGTGGCTCTGAAAGGACTTTGCAGGTGGCAGGACTAAAAAAATAAATAAATAAATAAAATAAATAAATGCCTTCCCCCCCACCTAAAATACCTCTTTAATTTATGCCTTTCCATTATCTCGTATAGCTTTCCAAAAATGAAACACGTACATAAAGACAAACTACATTCAATATGCCAAGCGGGCCAGGGAGAGACGAGCCTCTTGATCATTAACCAAGGCTCGGCGGAGGAATTAGGTTGTATGATTCGTCGCTCCAGGCCTGGTGAAATAGGTAGTATTTCATTTCAGTCCTTCATGGGCTTCAGGCTGTCAGTATCTGGGCTTTGAAGTGGTTTCACCCTCTGTGATGTAACTGGATCCCCGGCGCTGGCCCTGAAGAGGCAGTTTCTCATAGTCCCTTGTGCCCACACTAGCCGCCGGTGCGTTGCCAGCCCGTGAACCCGATCGGACTGCCCCTCTGGTTTCCAGCAATTCTCCCCGAGGTCTACATTTCCTGCACTAGATACTCTGAGAGGTGGAGATTGCAGTACATTCCGCTTCTGCATGGCAGGTGCTTCTGCGTTTGAGGGGGCAGGTGCTGAGACGGGTTCAATTGCTGTGAATTTCAACCGTCCAATTTCACTCTGATTTCAGAGTGACTGCGCTAGGCACCCTCCCCCCCTTTGTTTTGGAGGGGGTTGTTTCTCCACACTGACATGGGGCTTATCTGTCTCTTTAATTTCCATTAAGAACAGTAGCTTTTCCTGGTTGATTTTTGAAGGAAATCAGTATTTCAGTAATCAGAATCACAGACTGTCTGCACTCCAAGGGTTTTCCAGAAATTATAAAAACCTGAACTCTGTCTGTCCAATCTTTTTTCCATGGCCAGTTGTGAGAAACATTTTTTTGTTTTTTTATATTTTTTTAGAGAGAGCAGGAGTGGTGGGGGAGGGGCAGGTGGGGAGGGAGAGAGAATCCCAAGCAGGCTCCATCATGCTCAGCGCAGAGCTGGTTGCGGGGCTCGATCTCACAACCCTGAGATCATGACCTGAGCCGAAATCAAGAGTGGAACGCTTAACCAACTGAGCCACCCAGCCCTGAGAAGGTTTTTATTGAAGATTTTGGCTTTCCACACCTCACTTCACCTTTCAGTAAAACCACACTACCAGAAAGCTGTGTGCTTGGGATGTGCTTTGGCCCCTTACAATGGACGCTTGCACCGAATTTCACCCTGAGGTTGTCTCCAGCCTATGCCGACAGATGATACAGGGAAAGCTGTGTGAAACATATTAGGTTTATTGTAAGGAAGTTTTTGAAAACATTATCTTACATAGTGCCCTTTTTATCAGGATAACAACAACAGAACAAACAAGTATAGAGATTCTCTCATGTCTCAGCATTAGGGAAAATGTGCTTCTCCTGAACTATGGTTTCTTAGGAAAAGCAATTTCTTAGTAGATATCAATACAATCTCATTGGATTGGTCCCTGCTGAGTTGAAATTGTTCGTAGTTTGTACACGTGATTTTGAACTCAAAGTGACTGTGGCCTATCTTGGAACTTATGCTCATGGTACATTCTTTTGCAATATATTGTCAAAAAGCTTTCGGCTGGTTTAAAATCATGGCCTCAATCTACTGCATCAGACCTATAAATGCTCATTTGTTTTGTAACTTCGAAAATAGTCTGGGGTAAGTAGATGGTATTTATTTGAAAATGTCTTGCAATTTGGGGTTATATTGTGTTTCTTCTGCTATCCACCTAAATTATTTTTTTCTAGATCTCTTCACACTAGGTGGCAGAAGTGTCTCATAGAGGATTTTAACTCCCTAACCAAAGACTTTGATGGCCTCTGGGGGAGGAGGAGGGGGGCAATGAGGCAGTTTTTCACAGTGGACTCTGGCAGGTCCTGCTCTGGTGAAGTAAGTGAATGCGTGGCTTGGGGGGATGGTCTGATTCTAAGCCTGTGGCCCCACACATGTTCTGTCCGTCTCTCTTTTTGTGTCAGAGAGAGACAGAGAAAGAGACGGGGGCGGGGTGGGGAGAGAGGGAGAGAGAGACAGAGACAGAGATAGAAAGAGGGAGGGAGGAAGAGAGAGAGAGGGAGAGAGAAAGAGAGAGAGAGGAAGAGAGAGAGAGAATGGAAGGAAAGAAGGGGGAGGGAGAGAGAGAGAGAGAGAGAGAGAGAGAGAGAGAGAGAGAGAATGGAAGGAAAGAAGGGGGAGGGAGAGAGAGAGAAGGAGGGAGGGAAGTGGGGGCAGGGAGAGAGAAAGAACACCTTCTTTTTTCCTTTTACAAAAGTAACCAGAATCTCATTTAATAAATAACAAGGCAGATGAGAAGTCCCAAGCCTGCGCGTGAGGAACTGCGGAAGCCCACGGTCTCTGTCACTGCTGATGTCACTCTCCACAGGGCTGAGAGGTACCAGGTTAGCTGGCGCTCCTGCTTGGAATTCTGCTCACGTATGGCCTTGGGATAATTTCGGGTTATTCAGTCAGTGTGGGGAGGTGGCACGAGAAATGGACAGAGGGTCACACAGCCTCCTTCTTAGACTTGGCTTTGTCTTGGGCGAGTCACTTAATCTCCTTAATACTAAGTTTCCTCATCAGTGAAATGGGGACAATAATAGCCCTTGTTTCATTGTGTGGTTTTGAGAATTAAAGGAAATAATACAAGGGAAGCGTTTGGCACCTGGGAACCATGCAAGATATGTTAGTGGTCATTGTTTCTTTTTTTTTTTTGATCTTGGGCAAGTCAAACACTGTGAACTTTAGTTTCATGACCCACAAAATGATAACTTTGAATACTATGAATTCCAAAGGTTTTTGTAGCCTCCGAAGTTGGAGACTTTGTGTACAGCGTTTCTGTCATTTTTACGTCACTCCTAAGGTCTCCCACATGGTTGTGCACACAATAGTTAATTGTGTGTTTATTAAATGCTTTCTGAATTCTAACTGAATAGAAAATATACTCTTTTAATGTGATTTATTTTACAGATAAGTAGATGATTAAGGCATAAATAATATATTCTATTTTTTCCCTCTTGTTGATTCATTTAATCATTACTTTTAAATATTTTATTTATTTGCTTGTTTGAGGGAGAGAAAGAGAGCGAGCACAAGCAGGGGGAGCGGCAGAGGGAGAGGGAGAAGCAAGGTCCCAATGAACAGGGAGCCCAATGTGGGACTCAGATCATGACCTGAGCCAAAGGCAGATGCTTAACCGACTGAGCCATCCAGGCACCCCTCATTTAATCATTACTTTTAAAATAATGCACGTTTATGGACCAAATCCTTACTACATACCAGGAACTGACTGAGAAGCTGTGAGGGAAAGAAAGCTAAGAGAGAACATGATTCCTGTCCTCAAAGACCTGAGCTCTGGGTGAGGAGGCAGACTGTAATGGGGCCACAAAACTGCAGTCTGCACGGGGTGCCCTTGGAGTACAGGGTGGACATGCCTGTTACAGCAGGGACTCGCAAGCCGTTGGGTGTAGCTGGCCCTGTGTAGAGTGGTAGGAGATGGGGCAACCTGAAAACATTTCCTAGGTCTGGAGTGTGCCTAGGCTATCAGAACAGCCACGTGTGAAGCTTAAATGTGTATAAAATGCTGCATCTCTAATTGTTGGGAATATAATACTGGCTTTATTTTAACAATTTGTTCTAAAAATTCGCTATCATAGAAATGATAATGGGAATAATTGTATTATATTTTATGGTTTATAAAACTTTGACATCAACTTATTGGTTAATCATAATAATAGTTTCTTGCATTTAATGAGCCCATATTATTTCCCAGGTACTGCATTTGGCACCTGTCATTGGTACCTCATTTATTCCTAATTAGAAACCTTTGTATCAGGAACCCAAGTTTACCACTAGGGGGTGCTAAGATGGGGGAGAAACAGATCTACGCTCTGTGAGGTCAAAGAACATTTCTATCCATCTATCCATTATATCTCTAGCCTTTGGCATTGTGCCTAGCATATCGCAGGAATTTAAGTGATATTTCCTAAGTAACTAAATGAAATGACTTGTCCAGGGTGGTAGAACTAGTAAGTAGTGGAGTCAAGTATAAAAGTACTGGATTTTGACCATTTAGATTGGAAATAATCATGGCTAGAGAAAATCTGTTTTCTGTAACGTGGAAGCACATCAAGCTCAGTATATGTCTTTTTGGCCATAGACCCTTGCTGGAAAAGAATACGCTCTTGATAGTCATTTGGTTTTCATTCATCAAGGACGTTGACTCTTTGGTGAGATGGGCTTGAGCCCTACCTAAGATGGCTGGCTGAGTAGGGACTCTTTACCCCTTTCTCAATGAGATCGGTGTGATGAGAAGAGCAAATAGGATGAAATAGGGAACACATCATTCCTGCTCACCTTTTCTTCTCTTAGAGCTAAGCATCTATGACCTTTTACCTTCCGTTTGTGTTGAATTCTGGCTGAAAGGGATTCAGGGATACTGCTATTTGCTGTAGCAGTGAGAATGTGGAAACTCCAAAGGTAGAAATAAGTGTTTTATGTGTCTTAAGAAATCTTCTGATTCTTAATCAAACAACCTCTAGTTCAAGGCATTCTATTATTTTTTCGGCTTCTGGTATTGGAAGTCATTTTAATTGAGGACAGGTCATCAAAAGTTTGGGAAAATGTACATATCTAAAGAACATTTTTTGAGACTTTTCAGCTTACTCTCTTTAAAAATAATAATTTTCTCCGTAATGAACTGGACTGAATAATTCAGCAAATAGTTACTGACTGCTTCCTAAATGCTAGGCCCTGTGTGGGGTGCTGGGGATGCATGGCAAGACATAGCTCTTGCTTTCAAAAATGAAGTGGGAGATAGACCTGGAGGCAGATCGTTGTTGTGCTTGCTGGGTGTGAGACCCTCAGCGGGGGAACATGGAAACGCCTATGGGTGTACAGGGAAGTTGGAAACAGAGGCCCCAGTTAGCTTCCCACCATTGGTGACTTGAGGCCAGGAGAGCGCTGCAGACTGAACTTGTCCCCAGAGTTCTTATGTTGAAATCCTCATGTCTAATGCAATGGAATTAGGAAGTGGGAACTTTGGTAAGGGGGCCAGGTTCTGGTAAGGGCAGAGCCCTCATGAATGGGATTAGTGCCCTTATAAGAGACCCCACAGGGCTCTTTTACCCCTTCCCCCACATGAGAATACACGGGAAGCCAGCAATCTACAACCCAGAGGAGGGTCCTCACCAGAACTTGACCATGCTAGCACCCTGATCTTGGATTTCCCTGCCTCCAGAACTATGAGAAATACATTTCCGTTGTTTATAAGCCACCCAATCTGTGGCACTGCATTATAACGGCCTGAACTGCTGGAAAGGTAAAGGAGAAGGGAAGTCCTTCTGGAAGGGGCAAAAATCACCTGCTGAATATGAATGGGTGAAGAGTTTCCCACCCCACTGGCAGCAATCTCATACCTCTACCTCATCGCTTTGATGACCAACAGCTCCCAGATTTTATGATCAGATTTAGTACTGTATTATTATGGTTTGTTTTATATTTGCCAGCTGAAAAAGGCTGACTGGGATTGACCCAGGTGGTTCTCAGGTGGAGGAGCTGAAGCTTTCCTCTTCTTCCTCCACTGATGCGTGCACCTCCCACGTTGTCCTCAGACGGGGCTCTGAGGTGCTGATTTCTCTTTGGCCATTTGTCTTGAGTCTGTGATAGTATTCATTGCTTCTGCAGCCTCTTCTTCTGTTTTATTCTCTCCTTGTTTCTATTCTGTCATTCGACCCATGCTGAGATGATCCCATTTTTTTCCCTAAGAAATGTGGCACAAAGGTTAATGCAAACCTAAGCACAGAGACTTTCGGGCAGAACTTTTGAGTATCTCTATCTCCTGTTAGAGATGGAAGGATTTCTGGAGATCCCGAGACCTAGCAACACGTTCAGTAATCTGACCAACTCCATGCCCTTGAATTCAGATTTCAGCTTAGCTTACCAGATGGAACCCGTGACCATCAACACACTAGAGCACTATTAAGTCTCACAATGCCAGCATAACAGTGTGTCTCATGATTAGACATGAAGGGCAGGTAGCAGTTATTCAGAAACCCTGAAATGGGAAAGTTAGGGAATTGGGTTTTGAAAATGAGTCACCCAAACATTTTCTTTCCAAACATCTGCAGGTTGTTAGCCTGATTTATTTTGAATTAAAAAATCTTTTTGAGCTGGCTGACAGCTTATTTTAATTCCCAGCTGTTAAAATGTTTCAGCAATTGGAATTAGGGGCTGTGCCATGGCTTTTGATGTGGTGGGAACCAGTTCGGCACTCAGGTACACCTGGGGGACCTGCCCCTCCTCATCATGGTCCTTCAGTTTTATTCCTTCTGTTTAAGAGCTTGGTGCTTTGAGCTCTTTGTTTACGATCTATTTGCTTGGGTCTTATAGCACTGTTGGCCAAGGGAGTTTAGCTCATATTCCAGGATGTGGTGGCTTTTATCCAGCACCTAGCACTTTGTGGCTGCCTTAGATTCTTTCTGGAACAAGTTTGGGGAATAAACAAATACATAAATAGGTTTATATTTAATTGATATTGCCCCCTCCTCTCCCAAAATATGCCAAAATAATTTTTCTACTCAAAGCTATGGTTCTTATAAATGTTTTTAAGATTTCTCTGTAGATTGTTGGCTTGGTAAGGGCTTTTGACTTGTCCTTCACTTTTCTCTGGTTGTGGGTGAGCACCTCTCATTTTTGCTGTGATTTTGGATAGGAAATCTGGCGACTCAGTCTCTTCTCTCCTGATCCCAGCCACCACAAACAGTAACACCACCACCTCCATCTACTACTGACAATGCCACCTACCACTGCCACCACCACCAAGAAGTCATTCCTTGGCCCTCCTAACTCCCCTAGCATAGCATCCTATTATTCATATTACTTTTATTGTCTAGCTCCCCCAAAGAATTATCTGTACTAGCTATTTTCACCTCTTAGGCTCACCTTTATTCCTCATTTTTTCCTTTTCTTTTCCATATCCACTGTGGCTCACTCCCATCGCTCTGTTGAGACTGGGCTCTCAAAGGTCATCCGTGGCTGTTTAATTGAGATTCAGTCCTCTTGTTACCCGACTTCTTCACTTGTTCCCTGACTGCTGTGTATCTGTGTTAAGGGAAACTTTGAGACCAAAAACTAGAATGACAGAGTGGGACATTAAATGCTAGAGTAAGGACGTAGGGGTTTATACAATAGACACTGGGGGACCCAATCCTGCTTTTAATCTATGTTAAACTAAGGAGTGAATAGATTAATCCAAAGATGAAGAAATGGTTGGAAGATTGTCACAACCGACTAGGTGGAGAAAGGTACCGAGGTTATAAATTAGAACAATGATAAAGAGAATTGAATGTCAAGTGAAGATTGGAGAGATATGGAAGGAGTCTAATAGAAGATATGAGGGTTG